GCTTCACTGATTTTTGAAGTGATAATCCAGCAAGTCCTTTGAATGATTAAAGGCAAAGAATTTCTGTTGAAATGAGTTACTTCTTTTGGAATTTGTTTAGAAAACTGTGTTTAAAACCACTGGACACTTCAGCTGACATATGTCATCTTTAATGAACCTTGCCAGGCACTGAACAGAAAAATCCTTGTTTCTCCAGAAATCAGGAAGGTTTCCTTAGGGTGGAGGTGAGCCTGGGAATCTCTGCCTTCATGGCATTCCCTGTGACCCAAAAGATGCCATTTCTGCCTTATTTTGGGATTAGAGACAAAATCCTGAAAGGATTTTTTATTAATAACTGCCCATCCCCTCAGCTTGAAATAAAACCTCTGGTATGGATTCCTCACAGGTACAAGGTGTGACATATTCATTAAAATTCCCACCTAGGAAAGAATAAATCAAAATTAGTTATAAAAAAGGTTGAACATGGACCACTGCAAAGGAAACTGGAGAGAATGGGGAAAAGAAACCAGTGAAAATGCTGGAAAAAGAAAGTTTTCCTATTAAACTGATAGGGAAAAAGACTGAAACAAGACAGAAACGAACTTAAAATGTTTTTCATTAAAAAGTAAGAACAAAGTCAAGATAGAGGGGATGAAAGTCTGGAAAATAGCAAAACCAGATTTTTTTTCTGTACTATAAATATTGTAGGGAATAAAGTTCTTATAATGTGCTGTGAAATTAAAAATCAACCAGTAGTGTCTTAAGATGAACACGATGGGATGTGCTTGAAGGAAAGCAATGTTAGGTGATTCTGATTTGGCTTTTTCATTCTCTCAGCTTTATTAATTCATGCATTAATTTGCAATGGTTTATCAGCTGTCATTTTACAGTGTGTTTTAGTGAGATTTGAGAAAGAAATAAAACTGTGCTGTGAGTAGGGAGTTATGAGTGCACCGTTCTGCAAACTGAAAATAAACCCCGACTTAGCTCAGACAGGTTCTGCCTGTTAACATCAGATCTTCTAGAGAGAATATTGTAGCCCTGTATCTCCTTGAAGTCTCTGCTTTATGAAGAAGCTGTGGAGATGCTGCAGAGCTGCCCCAGTGGAGGTGGTTCAGGTTTATTAGCGGCGTGTTGGGTGATTTATTGGCCCGAGCTCTGCTCTAGCTGACACAGCCTGCAATGACTCTGCTCCTCTGAGCAGAGTCTTCCCAGTGAGCTGGTTGTGTAAAGGACAGGGGAGAGGACAGGAATGTGTTGCTTTTCTCCTCTTGGCTGCTCTCTTTGTGTTCCATTGCCATCGCTGAAGATCCAGGATGAGCTTTTGCCAAACAATTCAAGGAAAGCACTGGAGCCTTGGGCTTCTTGGAGGAGCTCAAGACTGATGGAAGAATCCAGAGTCAGAGGAGGGGGTATTTGGGTGAATTTTCAAAGATGGGTAGAGGAGGTGATTTGGTTTATTATGGACTTATGGATTTGGATCTCCAAAGGTAGAGATTTTCATCATTACCATAAGGGTAGTAATGGAAATAAATAGAAAATTAATGGAAAGTAAATCAGCCTTCTTTTTGCTGACTCACAAAGCAAACGTTTGTGTAGCTCTTTGGAGAACTTCAGGTAATGTGGAATTCCTGTATTCTCAGTAAAATGAAATATATAAAATCAGCACAGCAACAAGTAAGTTTAAAACATTTTTGAATGCAAATAATCACAAACTATATCCTTATTGCAGTTATAATTTTATAACCCAGATATTTTTTAAAAAGAGAAGGAATGGAGAAATTGTAACACTGAGGAATTCACCTGTGGGGCTGTAGATAACATTTACATCTTCGTTGTGAGAAAACTGAGGCAGAGGATGTGAGTCCCAGCGTGTCCTTAGCCAGGCCCCTCTTCAGAGGGATCCTGGAGCCCATTTCTTACTCTTCACTGTTCCTTAGGGCAGCACCAGTTGGAATTTTTGGATGTAGGAACTTGATACAATTAGCAGAAAAATGTGGACTTTGATTCTGATTTTCAATATGCAATTTTTCTTCCTTGAAATTATTAATTTCCTCTGCACAGAGGCAGAAGGTAATTGTGTGTACTCCAAGATTATGAAGTAGTTTCCAATAGGTTTTCACCTATATTTTTGTGAGTGATAGGCCCAGTTAAGCTGGTTCTAAAATCAGATATTTTTTAGTACTTGCTTGGTTTGCTGCACTTTTGGAAGGACTTTCCCTGAGTGATCCTTTCTTGGATGACCTCTCCATGCTGTCATTAAAACTTGGAAACTTTGGTCTTCTTGACAGTTAGTTCTGCATTCTCATTATGTTCATTCCTATTGTAAACACGCTGAAGTTGCTGCTGTTATTGCTTAGAATGGCTTTTTCCTCTGTTGTTTTGAAGTCTGGTAGAAATAGAAGTTAATCTTTAAGGGAGTGGGGCTGCTGAGGATTGGATGGCCCAGCTCGATGGGTCACGCCGTGTCTGTCTTTTCATTTGCCTCATAGATGATGTTCTGCTGACTCCAGCTGTTTTTTTGGAAAGCAGAAAAACAATTTGCTTTTCCTTCCCATCAAGTATAACCCTTTGTTTATCCTTGTGCTGCTGCAAGTTTCCAAAATGCAAAGACTTGCAAAGAAAAGAAAGGGAGGAAATAGCTCCTTTTTTTTACGCTGTTTTTCGTATCGGAGAGAAGAGTTTAGGACCGAGCTGAATTGTTGACCTTTGTGGAGTTTATTCTTAGAATTGGTTGATTTGTGTGTGGAGTCTGATTGACTGAGCCCAGTTCATGGGACAAACCACGGGCACTGGGTTTGGGAAGGGCAGTCCCAGCTTTTCTAAGTAACTCTTCTGTTCAGTGATCAGTTTTGGATTTGAAGAATTCCTCTTGCAGTTCTTCAATGGATTCAGTTCACTGAAGTAATTGAGAACAGCTCCCTTTTCCAAGCAGGACTCGTTTTTTGCTATGAATTGCTGAGACTCCTTTAGTTTTCTCCTGCAGGGATGTTACGAATTTGGGAAACACAAGTCACTGGTTCTGAAGTCACTGTAGAGATTTACATGACGAGGGTTATCATCTGGCAACTTTTAGTGCTGTATTTTATACATAAAAGGGAAGGTAAAAGAAAGGTTTGGGGTCCTGAATTCCTTTCCTGACCCAGATAAGAGCTGCCGAGGCAGAAGTCGGCATTAAAACCTCACCGCTCCTGATCCATAATGTCATCGGAAGAACACGTTTGTATTTACAACCCAGGCCTGTATTTACAACCTTTTTTTTTGCTTGCTTTGTTCCTTAAGAGGCTCTGGCTACCCACATTTTATGCACTCCTGGAATGCAATAACAATTGTGGCATCGTCTCTTCAGAATTCGTTTTCCTTCCTGAGATGAGGCCGGCGATAAGGCCTCACAAACCCTCCCTGGGTTCTGCCTCAGATGGCTTTAACTGGGTGAATTCATGAATTCATTCTCTCCTTCCCTTCCTTTCTGACCTTTCAAGCAGCTTGCTGTGATCTTTGGAATTTTGCAATACCCTCAGTGCTCTGGAAAATGAAATCCAGCCTTGTTTATCTGCACAGGCCCAAACCCGCGTCCAGAGTGTTGTCAAATGTCCATGGAACCTTCCAGAAAGGTGCTAACCCCTCCCACACTGCTCCTCACTGCTTTGCAGGTGTGGGAAATAAAACCTCTCCCCTTCTGGAGGTTCTGCTGTGCTCAGGAAATGTTCTGGACTCTTCTGGAGCCTGCTGGAACAGGGCTGGACACATGTGGACATCAGGTTCTTGTCCCTGCCGTGGCTGCAGAGCAGTGCCAGAGTCTCAAATGAGAGAAAGTCTCAAATTCAGAAAATAGAAATCTTCACTGGCACTGCCTGGGTTTGGGGTTTATTTTTTTTATTAGGATTTTAAGCAATACACTGAGTAAAAGTTGTGTTGTATGTGTTCTGAAATGCAGTTTGCCTGTGCTCTTTCAGCCTGGGATGCATGAGCAGCTGCCCAGGCCTCCTTTAAATCAGACACACATGTCTGTAAGGTCTTCAATATTTTGTTTCTTGGCCAATCAGTGAGAGGATTTAAATTGCTAAATTGACTGTATTAGCCTAAGAACTGATGAAAAGTGAGATTAACCGTTTGCTTGATAGCCTCCTCCTTCCCCCTGTTCTTTCCTCCTTATTTTTTCATGTAAAAATGCTTATTTTTAAATACAAATTATTTGTTTTGTTTATTAAAAATTATTTTACTTATACCATTTTATAAAATACATCTTTAAAAAACTTTATCTATTAAATGCCATTTAATGTGATTAATTTTAAGCCTTTCCATGTTTTCATTCACAGCTATTTTGCCTGACAGGTATTTTCATGTTTTAATCCTCAGGAATAATTCTCTTTTCTATGCTCATTTTTATCCATATGTATAAATCTATTGTTAATGATAATATAAAGGTAATGGAAAGCAGGTGAGCAGTGGAAACATTGCCACCAATTTTAAAAGAATTACAAATTTTCCCACTCTGTAAAGTTTGTGCAAAAGTATATGGAGAGGCTGAGGGCTTGTATAGAGAATTGTTAAAATCAAAAGCATTTTGAAGGGCTGAGGGTTTGTATATAGAATTACTAAAACGAAACTAAGAGCACAAAACATCCTTTCATACAGCAGAAATCTGGAGGAGGTTGAAGTGAGTGAACTGTTCACCAACAGAAAGGTGTCAATCAAATGAAATTAATTAAAATGTGAAGATACAAAACCAGTCGAGTCAAACATCAGTACTCCCTCACCCCAGAATGTAATTTTTAAATATCAAAATAGCTTTAAAAATGCGAACATAAGAAGAAATGAATATTTACACATAATTAAATGTTCAAAATAGCTCATCTAACCACAGCCTTATCTCTAGAAACAAAAATGCAAGCATCCACTGAGTGATATTAGCAACTGAAAGGCTTTTGGTTAGACTTTTTGTTTTCTTGGCAATAAATAAAATTCTTTGGGAGAAGTCATTAAGATATTTCTTAATGTTGCCTTTTCCAACTTTGCAGGCTGCTATCCTTGTCCAGGGCCAAACATGAATCCTATTGCTCTTGGAAGCCGTTGGCTTGCTTATGCAGAAAATAAGGTAAGGAGGGGTTTGATAGCAAAAAATACTTCTAGATTCTGTGTATATAGGGGGAAAAGGAAAGAAAAGATCTCAGGAAAAAGCTTATGTGCAAAAGAAAAATTAAAATGACAGTCCTAGGTATTTTAAAATATGAGATCTTTAGTTTTTTACTTTTTTTTTTTTTACATTAGATTTTTACATTTGATTTAATCTCGTGCAAAAGAAAAATTAAAATGACAGTCCTAAGTATTTTAAAATATGAGATCTTTACTGTGCACTTTTGATTTAATCTCAGTTTAAGGAACTTGGAAGGCAGAGAAGACAGCCAGCAACATGTGTTTTCAGTGATGTTACTCAATAATCAACCCATTCTGTGCTTTAAAAGTTTAAAATATTTAATTACAGACACTTCTGAAGGCAGGCAAAAAACCACTTCCTAAATTCTCTTTGGGGAAACTGAGTCTGGAAAGAGCCTGTTGCCTCTCTGACACAGCAAAGCACTTTGTAGCTTAGAAAATAACATTACATTGGCCACTTTTGAGCACCTTTGAAAAAGTTAAGCTCCAAGAAAAAACTGAAAAACTTTAGACTTTTTTCCTTCTTTCTAGAGACAAAGAAAATAGATTCCCAAGCAAAGAAATGATCATTGCTTTTACCCAGAGGAGTGGATGTGTATTTAAAGCTTGAAGTGAAGCCTAAATTCAGCTCCTAATGCCTTATTTTTATTTCAAAGCAGATGTTTTTTCTCCCTTCCACCTGTGACTGCAGAATCTGTTTCTAGAGCTGAGCCAGAAATGATCAGAGGCAGATTTTAGAGATCTATTTGCTGTTACACCTCCTCCAGCACAGCTGATTTCTCCCCAAATTCAGGCCTGCCTTTCCTTTAGTGCCTCACCTTGTTGATGCTGAAAACAACCCTGCTCAGCATGGGATTTAAAAAGTATTGCTGCCAAAATATCAGCAAAAAATTGTATCACAAAGGGAATTTAAATGGCTTGTGTGTTCCCAGGTAAATTCACTGTGGGCTTTCCCTAGTTTAGGTATTTTTATTTAGATGTTTAAATATAAGCAGGACAGAAAAGTCTGTACAAACAAATACATTTTACAGTAATTTTTAATGTTTTTTAGCTCAAATAGTTAAACAGGCAGCATGTTCTCTGTGCAAGCAACAAATATCTATATTTTTTCCAATTTTGCATAGAAGCACAGATTCTATTGTTACTAATGGTTCAAAGGCAAAACCTACTTTTGTAGGGTGATGGCAGGTACAAGAGTCTTGTTTTGATTTATTGATTTTGAAGGAAGGCAATAAAAAGCAAACCCCATGAACATTCCTTTAATCTATTAAATGCAAAGTTTCAAACAACTCTTTTCCTTTGTCATTTCTTTGCTTGCTCGTCATAAAAAGGAGGGGAAAGCCACACTCGGATTCTTAGAATGGCTGATATTTAATGTTACATATACATGGCTAAAGCTTTTGATTATATTTATTTAAATTTATTTGTGGTATTGCTGCCAGACCAAAAATCCCACCATTTCAAAGTTTATGAATTCTTAGTGAGTACTCATCTGGTAATTGAAAACTGGAGCGGGGGACGCGACAGTCTGGGTGGCACCCAGAAGATTATAAAAAGGGGTTAAGTGTCTCAGCAGGGCTTTTTGCTGTTTGGAGGAAAAAACACACCACTGTACATGATAAATAAGAGCTCTGGTAATGGGTTCTGGGTTTGTGTAGTTTAATAGTAGTGACTTGGTTGCTGTCTTTTCTTCTTGTAGCTGATCCGATGCCATCAGTCCCGTGGTGGAGCCTGTGGAGACAACATTCAGTCTTACACTGCCACAGTCATTAGTGCTGCCAAAGTGAGTCCATCATCTGCCCTGGGAGAGCTGCTCGTGGAACATAATGATGAGGTTTCCCTGCTGAATTGGGCTGTGTGTCATCACCCCCTCCCTTCCCAGAGAGGAGAGCACACTCAGAGCCCTGCAGCAGCAGCACCGTGCCTGCCCTCCCCATCCTGCAAAGCTCTGACTGACTGTAGCTTTCCACAAAAGTATTTCTGTTTCTGAGCTGATTTTTTAAAATTTCATTTATTACAAACAGCTATTTACATTAGAGGGAAGTGACAGTGGGATGGATTTGTGTAATGGCTGTTCATAGTGGCACAAGTTTATATGATTAGAGATCAACATTGTGAATTATTACTCTTTTAGCATCATGAAAAGTGACTTTACAAGTGCCTGGTGCTTTTTGGACTCCATCACACCCCCATTATACGATTTGCTCTCTCTGAAGGGTGACAGCACAGTACTGGAGCTAATTAATTACCTTCTTTGAAGGTTAGAGCTTATTAATGACTGTTTACATATAGGTTCCATTGCCTCGTTTTTGTACTTCAGATGATGTTATAAAATCCCTCTGTTTTCAGAGAAATGTCTGGGGTTTTGTAGTATCAAAAGAACCTCATGGCTTGGAAAAATCTTAAACAAGGCCGAGCACAACTTTTGTTTCACTGTCTCCCTCCCAGCTCCTTTCCTTGCTGCAACAACAATTTCTTTTTCTCACACACACACACAGAGTGAGTTTTGGCACCGTGGGGTGAGCTCGGTGCTGATTACAAGCTTCCCTTGGAACCACCAGCCTTTTCATTTCTGATATGTGCAACAAAACAAACCTAATAATAGGAATGAAATGACAGCGTGGGACAGAAGGCTCAGTGGCACCGAGGAAAACAACAGTTAGGAGAAGCCACAGAGAGAGACACAGGGCAGGCCAGCTCATGTGAAAACAAAACAGAAAAACAAACACAGTCCATCACAATCACAGTGTGGCCGGAGAAGGAGAAAAATCACAGCTTTTTACATTCTTGAGGGGAGCTGGAATTGCTCCTCTCCTGAGGTGATTTGCTGGATCTCTGTGTGCTTTCACCATCAGCACAGTTAAAAAAGAGGTGTGGGGAAATCTCCCCAAATTCCTTCAATCCCAGCATTGTGAACATCTTTTTTATAGCACAGATAAGTTTGAAAAGCTGAGTGGCTTAGTGTGATCAGCCACAGTTTGGATCAGATGTGGCAAAATCCTGCAAACAGATCACTGTAGCTGATGGCCTTCCCTGCTGAGTAGTACTAGCCAGGGATCAGAATCCAGAAATTCTGCTGTTAAGCTGAATTTATCACACTGAAGTAGTGCTATTTCCTCATGTGAGTAGATATTGAAGATAAAATGTGTTTATAATCATAGGAAAGAAAAGATTGTTAGCCTCTGTACAGAGATAAACTCCCAGGGAGAGTTAGGAAAAGGGATAATCCCCAGGGCACGGGCTCTGGGCTGCTCTGTATTTGGACAGCACATTGCTCATGCTCCTGCCTGTGGGATGTTACTGTAATAGACAAGATTAATACTAATATAGTTTTAAATATTTGCATTATTTGGCTCTTGAGGAGTGTCTCAGCCTTAGTGTATTAATTTGTTATCCATGAGCACGCCACAGTAAATCTGCAATGTTTAATTTATTAGTGATTTCATTGAGTCTTGGCTTGCTGTCTAGCAGGTTTTCATCTCTGATAAGTGCAGGGCTGACTTCCTTGCTGGCAAATAGATGCTCCATATATCCATTGCCCTTTGTCCATTTCGTTGCCTCACCATCAACTTCACTCCTTATTTAATTCTTCATTTATGAACCTTCATTTATGCTCTTGTGTCCTGTCAGCTGCAGGGGTTTGCAATTCCTTTGCCTTGATTAGTGCAGGAGCAGCTTTTGGGAAGTGGATGCCCTTTCCTTTTCCCTGCACTGCTGCTTTTTGGTTCAGAAGTGGTTCCATTAAAGTTCTTGTTTGCCAGGTTACCTTGGGTTACAGCCTTTTCTCTGGTTCCAATTTTCTACTGAAGTGAAAGAACCTTCGTATGAAAGAGAAGGAAAGCTGAGAGCTTTCAGCAGGGTCACTTTGGAGAGCTGCCTTTCAGATCCTCTCTAGAAGGTCTTGGTGGCAGCACAGAATATTTTCTGTAATGGTTTTCCCTTTGCTGACCCATGTCCAGGGGTTTGTTCTCAGTGGGAGCTGCTGCTCTTGGTGCAGCAAATAAATTTCCTTCTTAATCAAATAACTTGGGAGTTATTTGGGAAGGTCCCTGTTGACCAAAATCAGTGAGGTCAAAGTCATGATCGTGTTGGTGGCTTTCTGAGTGTTCATGTTCTAAAAGCTCTGGTAGTTTCTGTCATTTGGCCAAGCAGAAAATTTCAGGAAGCAGAAAATGTGTCAAGATTCACATTTGGATTAATGATGAGTGCAGATAAAAATGGATGTGTTTGGAAAAATGGAAGTAACATTCCTTAGAGGTGTTGAAGAACACACTCAGTGCATGCAGACAGCAAAGTCCCTTCCAGGGGATAAAGATTCTTTTCAGTTGAACAAACAGTGGCATGGACACAGAATTTCTTTCAGAATAAACCCCATTATCCCTTTGTTCAAACTGAGCGTGAGGCTCAACCTCACTGTGTTGACACCTAAGGCGGATCTTTTTGATGTCTCCTTCTGCTTGCTATAGATTTTTCATTTGCAATAAAATAGATCATATAAAATGCATTTATTATGAGAAACAGGAACAATATATTGTGTTGTCACTAAAAGGATGCAAGCCTTTGTTGGAACAAAGCATCCTAACAGGCACTGAATGGTGCATTTTAATTCTTTTCATCTAATTAAAGTTGTATTTACTTTTCAATTAAATGAGGTATGAGGGCATATATCTATTTTAATTAAATATATGTATTTCTTTATATTCAAATAAATGTGAACAGTCATATTTTGAAGTAGGTAGGATACACATGAGCATAGAAATAATGTGTGTTTCTGCACACTGTGGAACAAAAGAAACTGGATCAAGTATTTTAATTTTATTTATCAGCAGACTTCACCGGCGGGTTCCCATCAGTGACAAAGGGACTGGGACAGTGCAAACTTGAACCCATTTCATTTAAAATGTATTTGCTCTGTCATATGTCTCGCATCAAATTATAAACCAAGTCCTTGTCACCTCATAACTCCCTTGCTTGATTCCTCCTCCATATCTTTTAATCCTGTACTGGTAAAGTGATTTAGCAAAGGCTGCATCTGTTTTCTCTTGTTACCTGATAACTCCTTAATGAGGACTAACAGCTTATGTGAGAGCAAGGTCATTAGCCCTAATGGATGGAAGGGACAGCTGATATGGCATGGGAAAGGTTAAAGATTGCCCCAGAAGTTTTTGCAAGTATACACAGCAGCACAGGGCAGTAAGTGCTGTAATGGTTCTGCACTGATATTTCTGAGCTAATGGCCTTGGCCACATCTCTGCACACCTCTCCCTGCTGCAGGCCCACGCTGCTCATTTCTGCTAGAGAGCTGTAAATTTATAGTTGGTACTTTGCCATCCCATTGCTCTCATTATAAATATTAAAGATATTTTCTAAAACAGGTCGGTTACAGTTTTCAGCCTTTTCCCTTGCACAGGTATTTTGCCATGTAGCATTTACTGCTTTCTCCTCCCTGCTTCATAAACTGAGAACAAATAATTTTCTAGGATTTTAGCTATTGGCCAAAAAACTGCCTTGTCAGTTTTTGCCAGGAGAGCTGGAATGCATCCCTGTGATGGCACTGGGGCTATTTTAGGTTCATCCCTCAGCTGTCAATATCTGCTTTATGTTACCTCTGCCAGCCTCCCGAGTCCGCCACTGTTAAAACCCGTTTTATTCTCCTCTGCCGTAGCCGGGTATAAAAAGAAATAACAAGAAACAAATGGCAGGATATTACTAAAGACTTTAAACCCCCAAAGCCATTGCTGTGCTAAAGGCCTGGCTCGATTTTAAGTGGAAGTATCTCCATTAGCATTAATGGGGTGAGTCCATCAGCAGAGGCATCTCAGAGGTTAATCAGCCTTCCTGGCTGGCCATGGCCATCGATACCGTGTGGCGCCTGCTGCTGTTGGCCCTTCAGAGGCTTTCCTGACAACACACTAACAGACTTTGTGTAAGTCATTTCCCATGAATTATTAAAACAAACGTTTGGCTGCTAATTGATGAACACTAATGTGTTTTCTAATCACTGCAGTTTGAGATTTTAGCACTAAACAAAGCAGTTGCAATTGATTTGTGGCTGCTTCTTGGTTTCAGCTTGGGATCTGGACATTTTTTTCCTTTTCAATTTAGCAGGCAGCTTAGCTTGTCTTTTTAGTTAAGAATTGGCTTGTTACAGTGTCATTCCATTCTGATCTCTTTTGCTATTTCTTATTTATATTGCATAATAAATCTGCTCAATTCTTTACAGGCAAATAAGGCACAGTCCTTGGTTCAAGGAGAAAATATTTAAAGTTGTAGTTGGGCTTGTTTTTCTCTCGGTCTGCATCTCTCCTACTGTGTCTACTCTGCCTCTTTCTCCAAATAAAATAAAGCAAAATAAAAATAATCTTCAGCATCTTCAGCTGCTAAAAGCTGGTGCAGTGAATGTGTTTTCAAGCCCATGTCTGGGAAATGTGCAGAGCCTGGAAAGTCCCATTCCTTGTGCTGGGATGTGCCTGGGAGTTCCAGGACCTCGAGGATGGCATTTTTAATTTTCCTGGATTTGAGTCTCATATTTAGTTTTAATGCTCAATTACTGAGTAAAAAATGAATGTGTCAGATGTAGCAAAAGACAAATTCCTAGTCTCTTGCAGAGTGCAGAAGACAAAACTCTGCCAGCTTTGGGGGCTGTTTGTATTTAGTGTGAGCAGTACCCTCCTCACACCCATCGTGGCCTCGTCTTTGATCCTTCTGACCATGCATGCTATGGGAGTAACTAAAATCAGAGTTAAAAAAACCCCAGCACTGGAATACTTAAAATACAAACACATTTAATTATTTGAACATTAAAATGCTTCTTTTTTCAATAATGCTTTGGCATAATTGACTTCCAAAAGAATGGTGAATTCTCCCATTTGCTAGAACACCAAATTTTTTCAAGTTGTTTTGTTGCAGCCTTTTGCAGCTGATACACCACTCCCAAAAAAATCCACTTCCAGAAAGAACCTGAACCTGAACATCATTTAAAGGAGGTTTTTTTTCCCCTTTTCTGCAGACAATCAAGACTGGGCTGACAATGGTGGGGAAGGTGGTGACCCAGCTGACGGGGACGCTGCCGTCGGGAGCCAGCGAGGAGGAAATCCTGGCTCACAGCAACCTCCGCAGGAGTCCCCTGGTGCCTGGCATTGTCACCATCATCGACACCGAGACCGTGGCAGAGGGACAGGTAACAGTGTGCACACAGCCAGAGCCTGCCTGGCCACCACCATCCCAGGGAAATCCTTCTTGTGCTGTTGGGAGTGAAAAATAAAGCGGAGTTTCGCCTGCGCGGGGAATTTTACAGACCCACAGAGCTGGGATAAAATCCTGTTTGGGACTGAAATGCAGCCAAAATATATATTGTCCTTGCAGCATATTTATGTGACACTTTGACAAGATCAAGTGTGAAGTGTCACATTTTGTCTCCCCGACACTTGTTCCTAATTGACATTGATTGATGCTGATCAGTGGAAGTGGAGATGGAGTCTGATGATTTTATTAATGCAGAACGGGGCTGGAATGTGGGGTTGTTTGGGAATGGGGGAATTGTTGAATTCCAGGCTAAAAAAAGTGATGGGAGAAGTTGGGTGTGAAGTGTAAAAGTTATAATTTTATGTAAATCCCACATGCAGTTGAGCACAGTGCAGTTTTGTGAGGCATTTGCACTGTTTTATAATAAATTCATTGTGTATAATAATACACAGTGCAGTGCATCAGGAAGAATCATTTGTTACAAACGCCACACCATTATCAGACAATTTTTAAATTGCTGGATTTTCCTGTCTTTATGACAGGGAAGATATCCATGTCTTTTTTTGTTTGTTTCTACCACTCATTTAATTTTAGAGTGGCTGGTCCTGGAATCAGTGTTTATGCAGAACTCCCACACGCTTCATTATTCTGTAACTAGTCTGTGAGATATTTTTTTTTTCTCATGGTCACATTTATTGAATTTAAAACAAAAAAATACCTGCAATTTTTTCTTGTTTTCCCCTATCTTTATGATGCTAATTGTAGGTAACTTAGTGAGGTATTAAGGACACATCAGAAGTCCAATATTTAGGCAAGTTATTATTTTTTTTTCCTTGACAGGAAAATAAAACCTTTTACTTGAAAAAATAACAAAACAAAGAAAAACTTTGTTATGGTTGTTCCTGAGAATTAATTTTGGAACTATTTAGCCAAGCGATGTTGCATTAAAAGGGAATTGTTCATAAAACAGTGTAGACATTTTCTTCCAAAATTGCAGTAAAAGAAAGAAGATAATGGAAAAAAATTTAAGATCTTAGAGTCAGGTTTTAGAATAATTCTGTTGGCTGTTCAGATTTGGTTTTGTTTCCAGGAAAAAAAAATCTTTTGGCTCTTCATATACAACAAGGAAAGAAAAAAAAGACAAATTTGACTTCATAAATTTCTGATGAAGCTGTTGAATGTGGTCATTATTTCTGCTGCTTGCTGTCTGTGCTTTGATTCTTCTGCATAGGCCTAGAGGGAAAAAATGATAGATCTTAGTTTTTTAAGGCTTGTTATATATGATTTAGAGGTTTTATGAACTTGTCCTCTGACCCTAACAATAGTAGGGAGCTACCAAAGCCTGAAGGGCACTCCAGGAGAGGAGCTGTAAAAATGATAACGTTTGTCTTGTCCAAACCCTGCTGCTCTAACATAAATAAGCCATCAGCTCTAGGAAAATAAGTTTTGTCTTGAACCTCTAGGAAGCTGGATATCCTAATTGTGTGTATTGCATTCATGTTTTTGTGATCTGGAGTTTTTAAATGCTGTGAAATTATATCATTTATTTCCCGTGCTGCAATTTGCTTTCAGAATTATATTTATTTCCAGGAAAAAAGAAAATAACCTTTCTTTTCTGTTGCTAGAGTTTCATGGTGCAGGAGATTTTTTAAACAATTTTTTCTTACTGAAATGTCCTTCTGGCAAAAAGAAAGCTGATTAAAAAGAAATAAATGCACTTTGTATGTGGTCATTGCACACTGCCAGTACAGAACCTTCTCCTGTCGGGGTGTCCTGGGTGCCCTTGGAGCCCTTCCCTGTGCCTGCAGCTCTGTTTGCAGTGGAAATGTCAGTTTTTATGTTTTTGTGCAGATGTGAGCTGGTAGATCCTGGTTGTGGCAGGGATCTTGGTGTGTCCCAGGAGCCTGGCAGGGACGTGATGCTGTGTGCTGCCAGGAGAATTCCTGCCAGGAATGCCAGTGTGGATGGCATTAATTCTTGGGGCAGGATTCAGGGAAGTGTTTTGGCACCTCTGACCTCTGAAGGAGGTGAGAATCTCACTGAGCTCACTGCCCTGGGCTGTGAGGGCACTGCAGCATGGAGCTGTCCCAGCTCTGAGCTCCTTGTGCCCAGAATTTCTGACTTTTTTTACTCTCCTGTGGAAAATCAGTTTGAGAGTAGAGGTGACCTGAGCTCCATCCTCACTTTGGCTGAGGTGGAGGGGTGGTGGGACAGGCTGCTGATGCTGAATCCTCTCTGTTGTGGGGTCACTGTCTGTTTCTGAGGTTTTTCTGAAGTTACTGGTTTACAGAGTCAGAGATTCACAGAATCAGTGCATTTGGAAAAGGATCATCAAGGCTGAATCCTGCCATTCCCATGGAACCAAACTGCCACATCTGCTCAGTGTTTGAATCCTCCCCGGGATGGGGACTCCACTTTCCTGAGGGGAACTCCTCTTCCAGTGCTGAAGCACTCTCAGTAAAAGGATTTTTCCTTGTTTTATCCCCCCAGTTTTCAGATTCCTGAAGAGTTCTGAGTGGAATCAACAAACCCTTCCTGCTGGTTTGGGATGTTCGTGGCTGTTCCCATGAGGCTCTTTCTCCTCTCACTGAGATACCCTGAATTTAAAATTCCAACCAAGTATTTTCTGGGCTAAATGAGCACTTGGAAATCCCTGAATCCCATTGAGCAGGGGTTGGTGTGTGCTCACACGGGTTCCTGCCTTGTCACAGCTGAGGGCAGTTTCAGAAGCAGGGAGGAATTCTTTTCCTATCATCAGTGCCCTCCTAATATCAAATAAATACCTCACCTCCTTCAGGACAATAAAGATTTCTATCACCTGCACAGCCTGACTAAGAATTTGGGTGTTGCAGTGATAGATACATTTTCCAAGTAATAAAATATGCCTGTAAGATAAGATACAGTTAAAAAAAATCTGTTTTAAAAAGAGAAAGAAAATGGAAGACAGCAATAAATCTAAGGCAGGCAAATAAATAATTTTGGAGGAGAAATAAGAACTTTTTTTGAGTGGGGAAGCATTTTTTTTTACATAAATGTGTCTAAAGTTTTGCAAAGTAATGATCCAAGTACTTTCTCAGTTATTTCAAGCACAGCACACAAGTTCTGAAAATAGACTGAGCTGCTCTGTGCATGTGTACAAATATAACAATTTCTGTGCCAGGAGGATGATGAAGGGACATGTTTTGGACACAAACCAAGAGGACTCACTATAATTTTCACTAATTTTTAATAATTTCTCCCATTTCCAAGGCATTAAATGTGAGGGATGTGAGAGGGAGCTCGATGTGTCACTCACTGCCCTGTGCTGCCGTGGCACAGGGAGAAATGCAAACTCACCACAGAAAAATCCACAATTTTAGACCAAATAACTCTCCTAATGTAATCTTGCAGGATTAAATCTGTAGGGAAAGTATTTTTAATAAACCTTATGAAGGTAGATACTGTAGTAAACTCTCATCCCCAGCAGTTGTTTATGTGATAGCTCCTACTTTCAGAATTGGTGCTACTTTAAGAAAATCTGAATTATGAGGTAATTAAATAAATGCAGAGGAATGCAGAATTATTGACATTGGCTGTCAGGAGATATTTGTAAAAGGAATAAAAATAATTATCGAGATGCCCAAGTAACTTTGTGGTAAACCAAAATATGTTAACAAGGTTGTGTGCTTGTTTAAACTTCCTTCTAATGAAGTGTTAGCAAACTTTTCAGTTAGATGGAAGGACTATTTATTTGAATCCCTTAATTAGTTGAAATGGATAAACCTAAAGCTGTACAGATGTCCTCTTTTTCAGTAATTGGAATTAAACGTGTAAGACTTTATTGGCTTGGGTTTGAAAGAAAAATTATTTTCTTTTGACCTTTGTTTCTGTATTCTTAATTAATTCATCCACTGGGCCACCCACGTGCAGGCTGCAATAATGACCTTGCTCAAAAGTCACCAGTTTTGGGGCAGAATGTAAATCTGTTCAACATCTAACAGTTGGCTGACAGAGAGAGATGTGGCCAGTTCAAAATCCAGAACTCAGGGCTGGGTGCCTTCGCCGGGGCTGGGAGTGATGGAATCTCACAGCAGCTCATCCACAATCTGCAATATTGGAGGGAATGTTTTCAAAACAGCTCAGCAAAATAAGATAACATGTTGGTCTATTTATGTTTTAAAATGTAATCAGGGCTTTTTTTTCTTTTTTTCCCTGTTCCCTATTAAGTTTTTATTGCATTAAAGAGGAATTTTCGGGAAAAAAGCAGCCACAGTTTCCAAAGTTCATTTTGGTTTGGTGAGGTTGATAGCAATTGAACCAAACCAAGATGCTTATCAGGAGCAGGAATTGTTGTGAAATTTTGGTCTGAAGGAAAAAGAAGCTCAAAGAGTGAAGCATATTCAATAATAAAACTTTAACTACAGACATAATTCCACTGGTCATTAACACCAGGGCTTTTATTTTAGGAGCAGCTTTGGCAAAGGCTGATGTGATGTCCTGATGCTCAGATTTTTGGCCTCAATTTTCTTCACTTTTTATATCTCTGTGTATTACAGAAGAATTCTTTTTATATATAAATATAAAAAGAGCAACAGGATTCCCTCAGAGCATAATACTGTCTGCCTCACTTTTATTAAAGGAGATCTGGTTTTTGTCAAGAAGACATTTTTGTCTCAGATAAATGGTTCAGGCTGAGCGTGAGGCTGGTTTGAGTTTATGCTGGATTCTATTAAAAGGAGTGCAGTAGTTAATGCCACAGATCTATCACTTTTAGCCCCTTTCCACTGAAGTTTGACCTTGGCTGTAACTTGGGGGAGGCTCTTTGTGAATCAAACTCCAGCTCTTTAAAGCATTGGAGATCTCAAGTGTACAGCAAATATTTGTTATACAATATTCATATTTATAATTATTGCCAAACCTATTTGTTTTTATGATGATGGGATTAGTCTTTTCTTAATTGTATTAAGAGTAGGACCTGCTTGATTAGATTTGGGTCCATTTTTATTTGTGTTACTTTCATGTTTTATTTAAAAACATGTCTCCACTGGGATAAGTGGTGTAATTTGCCTTTAAAGATTAAAATAATTAAAGTCATAATTACGAGTGGCTTCTGCTCAGCAGTACTGAAAATACCACAGAGGAAGGAAAATATGGCAGAGGAGAAAAAGCTCTGGCAGCAGTTCTCCCCTGCCCTGGCAGCAAACACTGCTGGCTGGGGAGCTCTGTCTCCTCTTTTGGGGTGAGATAAAGATGATTTGGTGAATCTTTGACAAACTTCAGAGTTCTGCTGTAACAGAGCTGCTTTGGGAGCTGGTTTGGCTCAGCCACGGGCTCTTTGGCTGGGCAGCTTTGGGGAAAATCCTCTTGCAGCTCTTGGTAAAATATTTTTGGGCATCAGGAGCAGCTGAGGGCTCGTTCACGAGGAGCCTTGGTGGAAAAGTCTCAGTGTTGGTCTCTTGTTGGGAGATCTGCAAGGAGGATCCTGCTGGAGCTCAGTGGCTCTGGGATCACCTGATCTCTGAGATTTCTGAACCTTTCTCAATGAGAGACTTTGGAAGGTCTTTTAGCAGAGTGGTTAGAGGCCACTACCTTGGAGAAGGAAGCCTGTTTGGGAGGAAAAAAAACGCAGCCTCGGGATTCCTGTGGGCTCTGCAGGCTCTGGGAGGCAGAGTGAGCTGCTTCCCTCGAGCTCCCTGACAGCCCCTGGGTGTGTTATTAGGGAAATTGTCCCTCTGATTTGATTGGATTTCCAGGAAAAATTCCCAACTCTGCTGTTTTCAGCTGGCTGGAGGAGCTGGTGGTGCTGGTTTGATGTTCCTGAAGCACCGGGTGTTGGGTCAGCATCGTTTTGATTTCCTGGAGTTCTGTAAAAAAGGGAAATCATGCTGGGATTTAAAGCTCTGAACTGGGATGGGAAGCAGGCTTTGGTTTGGTGGCATCTTTGTGGGGGACATTTGGTTGATGATGGAGTTAAGTCCAATTTTTTCCCTCCTTCCTTTGATGGAATTGTAAAAAGTGATATTTGTTATCCCCAAGTGCAGTGCAGAAGAGCAAAGGGAAGACCTGGCAAATCCTGAAGATTTCAATAGATTGGTGATTTCAAAAAGCACTTTTCTCTGTTCCTAAAGGATCTATTTTTTATGCTGATTTGAAAAAGAGGAAGAATATTTTTTCATCTTTCCACACAGAAGCAAGTGTTGCTTCCTCGTGTGTTCCCCAAGCCAGTTCTGCCCATTCTGACAGAGGCAGTGACACCCATCAGGTGCTGAGAAAGGAGCCCTGAGTGTCACATTCCCCACTGCCCAAGATTTCCAAATTTTTGAGTGATGAAGGTGCTTTTGTGGTTGTTTTTATTGGCTTTTATTTTGCTTTACTTGGTTAGTACAGGGGATGAACACACTTGAATTTGAATCTGCAAAGGTCGGTTTGCAAATCAGCTTTTATAGTGAAAGGGGAGATATTTAAAAGCTCTTTTTGGAGTATTTTTTTCCAATAATATATTTTTAAGCAGTAAATGACAAACGAATTGAAAGCATGGGATCAGCTAACATCATACACAAATAGAGATTTGGACTTTTTTGAGTTCTCAAGTTTTCTAAGTCTGTTCCTAAGTCTAAGGTGTTTTGCAGTTTTTGATGTTGTGACTTTTTCTTTTGTATCATATTTCCAGAGGAAAAATATTTAAGGATCAGGTTGCCATCCCGTGCTCCTGCCTGTTGGACAGGGGTTTGTGCTGCAGGGGTGATAACAGCAGTGCATTTATCATTTTTATTTTTTCTCAAGTAAAGCCATGTTGAATTAATCCTGTAGAAGAGGCTGCATATGGAATATCCTGTGTAACTGCTTCTAGCAATGACTTAGCTCCTGTGATACCTACACATTTCTCATGGAATATTCTTATTTAACAGGCTAGACCTGCAAAAAAATTCTTTGCAAAGCTGGTTTATGGTGTTCATTTGTCATTATCATTTCTCTTTAATTGGAGCAGAGTGCTGAGGCTGAGCCCAGCTCCCTGGGAGTGGGAGCTGATGATGATGGCTCGAGGTGTCCTGGCTCAGGGAGGGCTGTGCTCCTCTGCAAAGCCCCCAGAAGATCTGCAGCCCCTCTGCCTCGGTGGTTCTGGCAGGAGCAGGAAATGCTGACGAGGGAGAGCAAAGCCATAATTGAGCTGGGAGGTGCCAGAGCTCTGGGCTCTGCCAGCCCAGCCCAGCCCAGCCCTGCTCCAAACGCCAGGAGAGGATTCCTCCTCTTCTGAAGTGGAAAAATAGCTTCAAATGATTTGGATATCTGTTTGGGATAGGAAGTATTAAAAACCTTGCAGATTATTTTGGAAGAGGCAGACAAATTATTCAGGGTGGTTTTGCACTGTCTCAGTAAGAAGATGGTTTTTGCTCACCACAAAACCCTTTTTCAAGATCTTTTCTGACTGATCTTTCTTTTTGTTTTATTTAATTCAGCTTCTAGGATGATGTAATCAAAGAATAAAATATTCCTACAGCTCCTGCATGGTCACACATCTTCTGGCTCTTTTCTATAAATCTAGGAATATCTTTGCTTTTTCATGCAATTAAACTTAGATATTTTGTCCCTTTGTATGTCCTCACACTCAGCTTTAGTTTGACTGGTGCTGGAGTTTTATCAGCTTCAAATTTGCTTTTGTTTAAAACACCAAAGCTCATCCTTTGTCCCTTTTCCCAGAAGCTGCTGCACAACACAGATCTCAGTCCAGGTATTTCCTTTTCCACTGAATTTCCCTGTGCTGTGAAACCTCTCTGCTATATTTTAATTCCCTTTTTGTTCACAAGAAGGTATTTTATGAGGGCCTGATTTTTTGATAACAACCTTTGTAATAGTGTTACCTCATACTGAGTGAGGCAGTTTCAAGTTGGTGAAAATTCATGTTAATTCATGAATTCCAGAGTGCAGCTGCTTCCATCCACACTCCCAGCCCCTGGCATTCCTTGCATCCTTTGGAAATCCAGATCCCTCCATTCCAGCACCACTGACAGCAGGATGGAAGCTGTGCTGTTCCCACCTGGGGAACTCCTGGGAAGCAAACCCACTCTCTCTGGGGTTTGATCTGGTCTTCCACTCATTTGCCTTATGTACTTGGGATCAAAATACTGATTTATGTAAGGGTTAAATATTCCTTTTTCTTTCTAGGATGTAATTTTGTTATTGGAAACCTCAAATGGAGCTTCCTGCACAGCATGGTGTAGTGAGCTCTTTTGCAGTCAGCAATAATTCATGGAGCAAAACAGGACTATTTTTCTATTTTCCCTAATTTGGATAGGATAAATGAATAGGAAAGACATGAAATAGGAAATAAATAAGATAAATTAATAGGAATTCCAGGCACAGAGTGGATAATCCTTTGTGGTTGTTAGAGCAGCTCTCATGTCTGTATGTGAGGGAGTTCCCAGCATTGTTGCTGTTGAGCTGCCAGGCAGGTACCAGGCAGGTACTCACCTGTGAATGTGACCCTTACCCAGCGTCTGTATGTGAGGGAGTTCCCAGCATTGTTGCTGTTGAGCTGCCAGGCAGGTACCCTGTGAATCCCTGGGTCAGGACATGGGGATTTTCCCTCTGGGGTGTTTTTTCTCTGATCCGGGCTGTGCTCTGTCCCCAGGTGCTGGTGAGTGAGGACTCGGACAGCGATGGCATCGTGGCCCATTTCCCTGCTCATGAGAAGCCCATTTGCTGCATGGCCTTCAACCCCAGTGGTAAGAGATTCCTCTGGGTTTTGGGATGGGTGGAAACAAGGCAGGAGATCCCAGTGGTAAGAGATCCTTCTGGATTTTGGGATGGGTGGAAACAAGGCAGGAAACCCCAGTGGTAAGAGATTCCTCTGGGTTTTGGGATGGGTGGAAACAAGGCAGGAGATCCCATGGGAGTGTGTCCCCTGGCTTTGGAGGGATTGCTGGTCCCACTGGGACACTGCAGGTGACCTGCTCTGGGGAGTGTTGGATTTGTCTTTTCTGGAAATTTCAAACTCTTTCACTGTGGTAGGAGGAAGGAGATTCAGTTCCACTGCTGAGGAATTCCTGTCTGCTGGGATCCTCCCAGCCAGGTGCACACATGGTTGTGATCCTCAGGTATCCAGAGGATCAGCACATGGATTAAATGTCCTCCATGAATACAGAATTAAAATAGCTTCATTGGTTTTTAAAGTAACTTATTATTTCTTTGCTAATGAAGAATTCGTGATCTTACCCTCTCTCCTGAGTGAAATCAACTAAAATCTGAAATACTTGTAAGAAATGCCTCAAAAGTACCTGTTTCTCTCCTTCCTCTCTATAAATGAACAGTCACTGTGGGCAGCAGGGACAACTACAAAGCTTGGGTATTAATTGATCTTATTAATCTGACAATTACCATTGATCTGCAGATAAACAATGTTCTGGCTGATTGCAGCAGCACTCAGGGAAATGCTCAGGAATCAGCAGCTTCCAGTGCCTAAATTAACAATTTCTAAGATGTAGCAAATGCCAGGAAGATTAGGAGGGTCAAGTCACATTTCAGAGAATAAAACTAAATGTCTGTCATTTATGTTTTCACTTTTGCTGACCAGTTGGTGTCATTCTGACACCCCATCTGTTGTGTCAGAACTCCTTAACAGTGCAGTGCAGTTCACTGGGATTTTGTGACAGAAAAGCTGTATTCTCATCTGCCTGGGTTTTCGTGGAAGGGATTTTTTCATGGAGCTCTGTGCAGTGAACTGAGAATCCTCAGTTCCAGAACAGTCATTTTGCTTTGTGCTCTGCAAGAAGGATGATACCTAAAGTGGAGCAATGCTAATTAAATGAAATAAATAAGTGAAATAAATACAACTGCTTAAATTGGAATGGTAAATAGGTATTAATTAAATGCTTCCTTAAGAGAGTTTCTGGGATTGTGTAAATTTAAAAGGCAGCAGAATGTTTATGCAAAACCAAATTAACTTGTTATTTTTCAAAAGAAAGAATATTTTTGCCAATTGCTGGATACTTCTATTATGTTCAAATTCTTTGGTTTGCTCAGGTACTGGGATGACAATAACTCAGAGAGTGACACTTAGATCAAATGGTGTTTAATGGCAAAACACTTCTTTAAGTGGTGTTATTTTTGGCTGCTTGCAGATGCTGTGTGAGGTTTGCAGGAGGGATGGGCACAAACCAGCAGAGAACTCTTCTCCAGTGAGAGCAGCACTTAGGCCAGGCTTGTGAGCTCTTTATTTAACATCAAGGCAGGATTTTGTTTGAAGCCAGGGCTGTAGCATCATCCCAGCTCATTCTCCAGTGGTCGTTGGCAATCAGGCTGAGCTCATTACAGAGAACAAAACAAGAGGTGCCTTTTGATTCTGTCATGGCTGTTTGCTCTGAAACCCACTTTGCTCCTGATTCCAGGCAGTGACCAGCACTCAGAGCTGTGCTGGGGAGGCAAACAGGGAGCCCTGCCCTGATTCACTGGGAATTTTACTTTCTGGGGCTGATAAACCCCTTAATCCCATCGTGTCTCAGCACAGGAACTGCACAGGTTTTGGGAAGATCCCTTTATAGGTTTTTATTGTGTTAAAAACGAGCAGAATCCTCCCTTCATTTGGGCAGATCAGAGGTACAAAGGCTTTTATCAGCTTTGATAATGAAAACCAACTTGTGTATAAATGACCCACATCTCTCCATACCACAGGAATTGTTATTTGTGCTTTTGAGGTAATTTTAAAGTCCACTGGGCTGCAGCTTGATTTCAGTTGTCTTCACTTCACCACAATTAAAAGCAAAGTATAGATGTTTTATTTGTGCTACAGCTGCGTTGCTGAATACACTGTTGTCTACACTTGGGCAAGTTCTCCACAGCCAGAGGACAGTCTGTTCTTTCAGCCCATGAAATTTCTTCCTGCTGCCCCTGCAGAGGGGAGGAAGGGCCAGATCCTCTGGGCTCCCCAAGGAAGGTGTGTTTGGGGCACAAGGCCTCGAGGATGCAGTGTGGGAATAAGTGGAACATGAAAACCTGGAGAGATGTTGTTTTCACAATTTATAGATGAAATAAAGCGTAGAGAAATCAGCTCTAAATTTTAGATATGCTCAATAATTCTGGAGTCCTGGTGTTCAAGTGTTGAGTTTGGTGTTGGAGGACACCAGGACATTTTCATGTGGACACTGCTGCTCCTCCTCTGGAGTTCCACTTTCCATGGGAGCCTCGAGTGATGCAGACCAATAATTAATTCTTTTGGAAGCTGGGCTGAGCTTCTGAGCCCACCAGAGCAGGGGATTGTGCTGGGATCCAAATTCCTGTGGGAATTCCTGCCGTGCTCAGTGCAGAGCCTGAGCTGGACTGGCCTCCAGGGCTCCAGGTGGGATTTCCAGGAGCATCCATACAAACATCTCCATCCCCATATCTGGTTTGGGAGGCAAGTTAAATGCAGGAATTTTCATGTCTGTTCAAAGGTTGTTTAAATCATTCACTCCTGTTTTTGGAAGGTTTGTGCCTCGTTTCCCTGTCAGGCTGCACTGCCAAGAACTATATGTACAACAAACCCTGTGGGCAGCCAGGAAAGATGAGAATTATCCCCTTGGATTTTTTAGGGCTTCTGCTTTGCCTTCCAATTTGGTAAGGCAAGTGAGTAGCCTTAGAGCCTCTGAAAAGGACATTTTGTTACCTAAGCTTCCTGGTGGTCTTCTCCTGGGACAGCTTTTCCCAATAAAAGCTTTTTTCTCCACTCAAATGCAGCATAGAGGGATTTTCCAGCTGCAGGACCCGATCCTGGCTTCTCACCCTTCTAGAAGGAGCAAAAGACACAATATTTTTCAATAAAAGCCCTTAAAACAAACTGAAAATGAAGTAATTAGACACTTTTGTAGCTATAGCTAAATCCACACTCAGCTTGGGAGTAGGAGCAGCTTTTAAATCAATGGGATGGGGCAGGTACATTCCAATTTTAGTGTCAAAGAGGAAAGTTTTCAAATAAGATTCTCAATTAGTAAACAGCTAAAAAAATGGTGTTGTTCATAAATACCCGGGTTTCTTTTTTTTCTTTTAAATATGGTAAATAAATGATCTGCTTTCCAGAAGTGTTGCTCCTGCCAGCTTGGCAGCTGAGAGCTGTGAAGTGCAAGACATTGAAAATTTAAAATAATTACGCTTCCTTGGCTACAAAAGAGATTTTCCACCCATTAATAACAAGAAAATTAATGTTGGGCCAGCAGTAAAACAGATTAAACTGTGTCCCCTTTGGGATGCCTGACTGCACCTTTAACAGACCTGAAATTGCTCTGATTATTTTAATGTTCTATATTGAAACGTGACAGTGGCCTTGAGTTAATAGTTAAAGAGGGTGAAATTGGAACATCTCTGCACAAGTTTTTTCCCATTGATGAGAAAAAGTGGGCAGGAAAACACTTCTGGAGAGTAAATCAAGCTGTAATTATTTAATGACAGAATAATTCTTCAGTTTTTCTGTTCATTTTCTTCTGGTTTTCAACTTGAATTATTGCCTTGGAAGACAAATACATTGAAATCAAGGCAGCTTGATGAGTTGCAGTTATAAATGTTGTGTCCCTGTGTCTCATGTCACCAGAAGGAGGAATCCTTGATGACTGATGGCTTGATCAAGAATTGCATTTTGGGTTGATCAAGAATTGCATTTTGGGTTGGTTGTGAAGGAAGAGCTGTAGCCATGGATTATTTTAGGAGTTACAAGAGTCATAGGGAGTTATTTATTCACAAAATAATATTTTATTTTGCTTCTCTTTATTTTGACTTCTCGGGATTTTTAAAATATTTACATTAAATCTTTACGTGCTTGCGTTTATTTTGCGGTGAATTGTGCTAAAATCAGAATTTCATTATTTAGTTAAGGTTTCTTGAGACCCAGTTTTGTAACCTGCAGCACATGATCCACTTGGGAGTAGGCAGGGATTGATTTGCTCTGATGTTTGGCTGTATTTTCACTTGCCTGGGAGAGGGGCTGAGTGGGGATAAATAAATCTGCTGCTCCTGGGTCGGGCCAGATGCCTCAGAAAACCATGGGCCATATAAACTTTGTGACATGAATGCAATTGCTGAGCCCAGGGAGCTCAGTGGAGCAGGAATCCTGTCCCAGTGAGCCTGTGGAAGGTGGCAATGCCAGGAGAAATCCACAGGGACTGAGCCAGGAGTGGCTCTCAGTCCCTGTGGTTCCCCTGAGTGCTCTGATCCTGTAATTTGGGAACCTCCAAAGCTCAGTACCAACCTTGTGTGGGATCCAAGTTCACATTTCCAAACTAAAGTGTGAAAGGTTCATATTTTTAATCACTTTTGGGACAGGCAGTGAGTTGGTGCAGTGGCTGGACTGGTCTCTCCGTGGCTGGGCATGGAAATCTGAGGGTTGCATTCCTAAATCCAGTCCATCCATGGATCCACATTTCCTCCACACAGATGTGTGCCTGATTCCCAGCACTTGTGCCCTTGGTGTTTTGAAAAGAAATCCAACACAGCTTGAAGGTGTCGAGTCCTTCAGTGAGCTCTGGCAGAGTGACACAGCTTGGGGAGGTGGAAAACCCTCAGAAAACTGAAGGGAAGCTCCTGGTGAAGCTCCAAACCATACAGACCTCATTTATATGCACGCAATCAACAGCTCTGCAATTAGGGAGGTGTTATAAATAGGATGTGGTGGGGCTGCCCAGCACTCTCTAATTTTCCCCGGGGCTGCCAGGAGCTGAGGACTCGGTGTCCCATCACAGCTCCGAGCCTGGTGAGGCAGAGGGGAGGAAGCTCTCAGATAAACACGGCGCAGCCTCAGCTCCCATCGCTCCCGGCTTCCGCTTCCAGGCCCTATAATTAGAAGTCCTTCTTTTCCTTGTATTCCCAGTTGACGCAAATGCTTTTTGTGGCTTGGCACCTCATTTAGGGCGTGGGCTTAGTTTATGGCCAGGCCAGAGTCTGGTTTAGTCTTCTGATACTGCATAAATAGCTCTTAACCCACAGTCTACATCTGTACTAGTTTTTCCTTTTATGCGTATATTCCTCGTGTTTTTATTTCTGTCCTGAAAGAAGCTGATTGTTTCCCCAAACAGAATGCAGGAAAAGTAGGAAGCTGTAAATTAGGGCAGGTAAAACAAAGCTTTGCTAATTTTTTTTCCCCGTCTAGGATATCTGTTCCTTTGAAACTGGATTTTAGTCAAACAACCACACAGTAAAACAGTCATTAATTTAATCTGGCTGCACCCTCGTACTGTGGATAAGCAAAATCAGAATTTTTGCAATGAGATGTATACTAAATGAAGTCTGGTTTACACATAAATTTCCACTGGGTCCTGTGTATGCAAGACATCCAATGGATTTCAGCTGTTATCTGTTAAACAGGGATTAATGCCAGTTGGAAAAATAAGCAGGAAATCCTCAAGAATTATTCACTCTTCATCTCTGATTATTCACCCATAAAGTCCCTCATAAGAGAAAACATTCAGACTGAACTTAGACGGCTTTAACCTGCATTTCCGTCTAAACAACTTTTTGGGAAAATTGTCCCAGGGCCTCTTAAGAAGCTTGAGTTGAAGTTTCCTGCACTTGAAAGTGAAAGTGAGGTAGGACCAGGATTCTGGTTCGTGTTTCTCTGCTGGGATTTGGAATTCCTGCTGGGATGCTGCAGGGACATGGAGACAGAAACAAAATGGCTGAGCTGTGATAATGGAAAACTGGGATTCTTCAGTGTGAAGTAATGAGAGCTGGAAAATCCCACCACAAACCCCAGCCCAGTGTTCTGAAACATGGGTGATTTATTGTTTGAATAACAGGGGCGAGGAAGAGATTTCAAAATGCTGTTTTATAAATACTCGTTCTTTCCCATCTGTGGTGTTGTGCTTGGGACCTCCGTGTTGATACAAGTCCTGCCAGAATATATTTGTTCTTCAAATGCAAATGTGGGTGTGAAAGGGCCTCCTTTAACTTACTGAAAAAGAGTCTCTAATACAAGTGAAGGGCCTGTTTTCCCTGAGCTTTCATCTAATAAATGCATTTATTCCAAACGGGACAGGCAGCAGGAGTTTAAATTAGACACAAATTGCCAAATCAGATACCACTCGTCTTTCTATTTTTAAGTCAATTCCTTTCCAGCCACAAATGTATTATCTTTCACCTCTGTAGTCCTTCAAGTTAGCAAAAACAGAGAAAAGAAACCCCAAACCAAGCCCAGAGAACCCAAAGGCAAAGCACACATGGAACCAAGAGCTGGGAGCATCATCTGGAACTGCTCAGAGCTGCAGGTGGACGGGTTGGGATCCAGGGTGGCACCAAAGGAACAAACAGGGACCACCATGGGTTCTGAGGGCTCGTGTGCCACAAGTTTTGGACAAAGTGAGCCCTGCTCTGCCTGAAGAGAGCCTTGTAGGGTTGGGAGAAGCCTGTGAGGAGCAGGGGGTGATACCCTCCCTGTGCTGCCTGCAGACACCTGCGGCTCTCGGCAGCGCTGGAAACCAGATCCCGCTGAGCTGAGCACCCATGGATTGCATGGACAGCAAGGATGGTGATCCTGTGTTTTCACTGCCTGGGGATCTTACACAGCGTTTTGTCTCCAGTTCCAGGCAGATTTTTGGCAGATTTAGGGGTTTTTTACCATTTTGAGTGCACTGTGCCGTGTGCTGGGATCCGCAGGAAGAACGCTCTGCTGGGATCTCTGGGTGTGCTCAGCCCTGGGTCTGTGTTTTTAAAAGACTTCTCAAGCCTTGGGGCAGGCAAAAACGTCTGTTTGCAGAGCTTGTCTGCTCAGTATTCAGAGAAGTCTTATGGATCCATCTGCTCCAGCTTCTCCTTCTCCAAAGGTCCTTTCCATCGGGAATAAGAGCGAGCACGAAAGGACCCAAAGCACCTCCATGTCTGTATAAAGCTGTCTAATGCATGAGGAGAGACAGACATGGGAATGGAGAAGATAAATTCCTACTGGGTTGAATTAGATCTTTTGGAATATCCTCTCTCCAGTAACAGCAGCAGCCTCATTCCAGCACACAAACCCCTCTTTGCTTCCAGCTTTCTCTGCTGGAAATGCTATATATTATTGAGGACCGCACACTTCACTAGAAGGGAAGTGTAGTTTGTGATGTTGCAGAACAGAATTAATGCAAATTGTGTGCATAATCCCACACGAAAGGCTTGGCTGCCTTGCACCGGAGCAACTTGAGCTGTATTTCCTATCAACACAGTCACTACAAATCAAGGAAATTGCCAGTTAAGCCAACATTAACATCCAGACCAACCTCAGCTCACATGCCTTACCGCCCAAACATAATACCCCAGTGCTCTCCCGGATTTCTCAGCTCCATAACAAACTCCCTTTCATTTCTAACACCCGGGCCCGGAGGAACAGCCGGGAGCAGTAAAAGTGTGTCTGCTGGAGGGAATCTTGCTGAGCTCAGATGTGAGATGGTGCGTTTGTGCGAGCTGCAGGAAATGCCTGGGTGCAGCGTGGGTGGCCGGGCCCTGCCAGCCTCAGTGGTCAAGCTGAGGGGAAGCTTGGAGGCAGTTTTGTCTCCGAGAGCAGTTTGGATTTTGTACCTTGCTGCTGGTGGGTCTCAGCGCCTTGGAAGTGCGTGTTTGCCCTCACAGGATGCTCCTTTCAGAGGTTTTGGAGGTGCCCTGTTGGTGCCACACAGGCTCTGAGGGTGTGCCCTGCGAGGGGTTTCAGGACATTGGACCCACGTGGCCAAGCCTTTGGCTTCTGTGCCAAAGAAATTTTTCTTTCTGGCCTAAAGGACTAAGAAGAAAAGACAGAAATTTTTCTGTCTGGGCCTAAAGGACCCGATCTCTTGGATTCCGGGATTGCCATGGAGGGAAAACTCAGATACCAAGCTAGTGATGAAATGGTGTCCCATAGCAAAGCTAATCACACTTAATTTTTACTCTGCTGCTTTGCACACTTTTTTCAGTTTAATACTAAATTTTTCCAAGTGTTCTAAAATAGGAAATCAGTGGTAACATGAATTTCTACTCTGCTGCTTTGCACACTTTTTTCAGTTTAATACTGAATCTTTTCAAGTGTTGTAAAGTAGGAAATCAGTGGTAACATGAATTTCTACTCTGCTGCTTTGCACACTTTTTTCAGCTTAATACTAAATTTTTCCAAGTGTTGTAAAGTAGAAATCAGTGGTAACATGTGAGAGGTTTCAAATGTGTGCTGTTGGTATCTGGGGCAGCTGAGGGAAAAGCAGTTTCTGGTATCATCTGTAAATAAATGAAGGCAATGGACTCTCATTTATGGCAGAAATAAGATATTTATCCTCTGGATAAGTGACATGTAAAACATGGGGACTAAGTTCTCTTCCTGCAGGGTAAAAGATTTCAGTTGTGCTTTATGTGGAGAAATGCTGCAACAGACCTGAGTGGAATTCTGTTTTTTCTTTAATAGATGGGAATCTTGAAAATTATTTAGAATGTCACTATTAAACTGCTAAAATCACTTTGTACTTGATGTTAACTAAATGTCAGAGGGTTACTTTGGGTGATAACCTATTAAATTTCATTAATAACAGAAAAAAAAAATCTGTAATTTGTTACTGTAATCCTGAGTTCTGCCATGATGCTGTAATTTCCTTGTATGCACAAAAATACTTAAATTTTTTGTATAAATTGGTGTAAATTTATGGCAAATTGACTTCAAGTATCTTTGTAAATGTTTAAAACTGGGTTGTAGGCTGAGACATCGTGGGATAAAAAAGTAAATAGCAAATGTAAGTTACTGTGGTTCTGCTGATCTAATTGAATCATTTCAGTACCTCCACCAGTGACCTGATTTCAATGAACCTGGTACCTCATTTAGTGTTTCATTTGAAAGCTCTCAACTCTGCTTTTCCCCAATGAATTAGAGAGATTCTTTATAAGGAAGATGCTTCTTCAGGATTGTTTTGGTATGGGCTGTTTTGGCTGGATTTCGATGATCTCTTCTTCCAAAAATTGTTATTGTGGAGACATCAATCTTTTTGAGACTGGCTCTTGCCCAGGGAAGAGCATTTTGGGGTTTTGCTGTAACATTCATCACTTCAATGCTTCATATTGGCCACACAGTTCTCAAATTTGTTGGAATATTCAGATTTTTCAGATGTTTTTATAGATTTGTGTTGTAATACTATCTTAATACATTAATACTTAAGTCGTAGTACTGTGAATATGATTTCAGTTGAAGTCCTGATTCATTTTTATGAGGTGAATCCCTTTCAGTTCAGTAATTTTCTGTGTTTTCTTCTGTTTCCAAACCCCAAATGTAAGCCACACTCAGTGTTTTTTAGACAGACACTTTAAGCCTCTTCTTTTGCCGCGATTAATCTTTTACGCTTTTGTGTTTCTTTTTTTTCTTTTGCTCCCCAGGGATGTTGCTGGTCACCACTGACACATTAGGCCATGATTTCCATGTTTTCCAAATCCTGACACATCCTTGGTCATCATCACAAAGTGCCGTCCATCACTTGTACACACTTCACAGGGGAGAGACCGAAGCCAAAGTAAGTGAAACTCTTTGCTGAAGAATAATCCCCAGACACCTTATACATTCTGTGTATGTTGGCACTTTAATGTTTGTTTCAGCACACAAAGAGCCTTTCTTGTGCTCCAGCCACAGAAGGGATAAGAGCAGAGCGTTTAACCTGGACAATAATAAATTCTTGCCCTTTGCAATGAGGTGCTGTCAGATTTATTCAGATCTGGCACTGCCTCCAAAGAGCCCCGATTATTGGCTGTGTTTGCACTTAACCTTTTCTCATGTAACATGTTCAACATTTGTCTCGTGCCCGTGAAGGAACTGTCAGCGTTTGCCTGGCTCTGGTGGTAAAAGCCACAGACAGACAATTAAAGAGTTGAAAGGAAGAGTTAATCAAAAGGCTGTGATTAACTTTTCTTAGCACAGTGGGGGAACCTGCAGAGACTCCCCTGTTTAACTTCCCTGTTGAAAAATCCCCCTCTCAGAGATGCAGGGCTGAGTTAGGATGTTGTCCAAGGGTGGAGAAGTCTGGAATTGTATTTTAAGCAATGCTCAGTGAAGTGATTTGCTGTGAGGTGGGGAAAAGGGATCTGCTCTCACTGGCAGGGCTGTGGCTGTGCAGCAGCGAGTTCTGCTGGAGTCCTTCACAGCAGAGCCTCACCTTTGGAGCACTGAGGAACTGCTGAGGAACCTGCTTTAAACACAGAATCAAAATGTCACCACAGGGTAAGAAATGAGTGTTGCACTTGCTGATGCAATTACACACGGGAAGCACAGGCTTGTGACAGCCTGGCAGATGTAAAGCACTGTGACAGGGACAGCCTGGGGCTCTGTGATTATCACCCTGGCACGGGGAGCTCCCTGCTTCTGGTACCTGATTACAGTTCCTTCAAACCTTTTTTTTCCCTGGGAGTTGAGCAGTTTCTTTCAAGTTTCTCACCATAACAAGTGGAATGTGAAAGATTTACTGAATGTAGCAGTGGTTGATCAAGTTTTGAGCTGGGTGAATTTGCATTTCTGGGAGTTTAAATATTCTAAAGCTTTCCTGCTACCATTCTGGAAAAGCAGAATTGCTGTTACAGGCAATAGTTTACTATAAGAAGGAATAACCAGTCTGGAAAGTGAGAGGAAATTAGGAAAAACTGTTCATTTGGGATAATATATATAGTACTAACAAGTAGTTTTTATAAATATTGCAAAGAGCAGTGAGATCTGTGTGTATGCACATACTCTGCCATCTACTTGGGCATGTTCTATAAGGTGTTTAATGTTTTAGAGTTATTTTTGTTCTCCCTTCATACAAAGACTCAATATTGAAACCCAAAGCACAGGACTTCAGTCATGGGGAACAAAGATGTTCTTCTGGTTTTTACAGCTGATAAATTTGTTTTCAAGGCACACATTGGAAACCAAACAGAACATGTTTTAGAGAAGGAACCCTTATTGATACATGTTTTTTTGGGATATAGTATTAGCATCTCTGTGAAAGCATTGCATTAAAATTCTCAGAATCAACATAGTAAAATTTTTTTCTAGTTTGCCACACAGTTTTCATTTGGGATGTGAACAGTATAGCTTTTGGAATGGCATAAAATAGAGAAAATTCTAGCCAGTCTGAGGTGTGTTGGTGGATTTCACAGCTCCCTGGATAATTAAACAATACTGCATTGGTACCTGTGATTCTCAACACACATAGTTTAAAATATTTATGTAATTTGAGGGATTGGTTTACTTTTTTAGTTTGGAATAACAGCACTTCTTGCTGTTCAATGAGAGGAGAGTTTGCTGGTGCTGCTCTTTTGTTTTGTGAATTTCATGTATGAGGAGCATTAGAGAATTTTGGAGACTGCTCAATGTAAAACTCTCAGTGCAGCCCACACTGGGAGCCTCTGTGCCTCCTGTCTGGTTAGAACAGTATTTGTACATTTGCTACCAGACCTTTTTCCTTTTTTCTTTTTTTCCCCCCCTGTTTTAAAAACTAACTGTGAATCAAGGCCAATGGTCTTAAAGGTCACCTTCTGTACTGGAGCTATAAAAAGTTCTAATTTGTGTTGATGGACATGAGTGATTATCAGTGTCAGAATTTGTTTAGCTAGTGCCCATTATAAATTGTTTAACCATCATCATTATGGCCATGTTATATGTGGGATTTTAATGTCCCTGCTGAAAGCAGCTCTGCTTTTCTATGTGAGATTTTGGCTGACAGCTTCACCCCACTTTTCCCAAAATCTCCCTTTTGTGACTCAGAAGAAGATGGGGTGGGATGGAAGGTGGACCTCTCTCTCAGAAGGGAATGGTGAAGACAATGACCATGGCAGAATGTGAAGTGCTCAGATCATTCACTGAGTCCCAAGGTCACAGCCTTCAAAGTCACTGTTCTGCAGACACAGACAGAAGTCCCTGTTTGGTTGTACCAGACTGAGATCTTGTAGCCTTTGAGTGCCACTTGTGCTCTAGATTTTATATTTTTCTCCCTTAAGAGGACAAAGAGCAGCACTGAGTAACTCCAGGAAGGTCCATTGCAAGGGCTGATTATTTTACTGAGTCAGAGAGAGCTGAACCTCTCAGAGGACCTGTGCTTGCACAGTTCAGCTGTAAAGAGGAGAAATGTGCACGTGTATGTGCTGCACATTTTGGTTAAGGACACATTTTCTTGTCCTCCAGCTCTTGTGTTGTGAGGCAACACTTACTGCACTCATATTTTTACCCAGGAGCATTCTGGAAGGTTTTTAATGAAGGCATAGCATGTTCTGAACTGAGGAAGCTCATTTACTTGCAGATGAAAGTTAGCCTGTCACCTGATGATCCTTTCTCTTTGATCTGAAATTGTAAACAGCAAAAACAAAATCCCTGCAAACAGCATTATCTCAGCCTAGGACAAATAAACGGCACGATAGCATCAGCTGGCTGCTGGCCAGCTCCTCTGTAATCCTTTACTCTCTCAGACTTTTGTTATTCCCACTCCCAAACTGCAGCTAGAACTGATTCAGTGGGAGAAGGTAAACAGGGAATGATAAAAACATTCCAGCCTGGCTGCACGCTGATGTGATGCTTTTCCAGGGAATGCACAAATGTTTCAGTGATGTGGTTCCACACACACTGCTCAAGGTTGTGTCACGCCCTGTGCCCAGGTAGTGAAACATTGGGACAACTTCCAGATATTGGATGTGAATGTCCATGGCCACGAGGAATTCCTTCCTGTCTGTGACATGCCCATAGTTGGGTATTGAAATAGACTCTGTAAGACTAGGAAGACTTTCTTATTTCTAGGAAAGAAGCTGGGGATGGGCTTGAAATAATCAGGATTGGTTTGGGGAAGTTGATCAGTGCAGCTGAGAGCTGACAAGAAGAAGCTGCTGCAGTCAGAAGTAGCTTGGCTGCCCTGGGGAGATGGAGCCCTGAGCAGTGGCATTTGCAGCTCAGTTATTGGTGCAGAGCTCAGCTCTGCTTAAAGAGCCCACGTGAATCTCTCACTGTGCCCACATTCTGCCCTTGCTTTTACACAGCTGAAATCAGTGTTGAGGACATGGGGAGACACAGTTGGGTCTGTGTGGGTCTGATAAATGATGTTGTGTAGACCATGATTTTATTATTTTTTCATTTATGTTTGTTGCTACATCATTTCCTTAATTTTCTCAGCCAAAAAAATTCACATGCAGACCAGTTTTCTAATTTATTTTGACCCTTACCTCCTCGGGACTGCTGCTCTTTCTCATTGCTTAATGATACTGGTTTTTTCTTTCTGCCATCTCCCTGCACAGCATAATTCAATACTTGAGTCCTGTGCTTCAAATCAGGGTGTTTTTTCTCTGTGACACAGCACAGTGATCATGAACAGGTCACGTTCGTGTTGCAGCACTGCTGGTCCCACTCTCCAGGTTTAATTAAATGCAGTAAAATGCACAAGAATATACAGATTGCACCTGGTATAACTCCACACGACTGACAGAGGGGTTGTAGGAAGGAAAAAAAGAGTGCTAGGAAGATGAAAATGTGGTTTATTTCTGATCATTATTACTCAAATCCAAGGTTCAGCGTTGTGAGGTTGCCTTTCTGTTATGTGAGTTACCTGGACACAGTCCTGTGCCAGGTGCTCTGGGCTCACCCTGTTTGGGCAGGGGGGTTGGACCAGATGAGCTCTGTGGTCCCTTCCACCCCAACCAAGCCATCCTGTGATTCTGTAATATCAGAAATTATTTTTTGAGCTGTACAGTATTGAAAGCTGATCCTCAGAGAAGCTGTTGACATGTGCCATGTCCTTGGAGGACTCTCTGTATTAAATTACCTGACTGTGTCATTCAGGGCAGGCTCTGAGTGGTAGCTACATTTTAATTCAGTTTTCTGGAGGATTTTACATCATAATGTTCAAAGCACGGGGAAATAGAGAAGTGGAAGTTATAAAGAAGCACAGAAGAGTAATTGGAGGGAAACAGGAGAAGACAGGAAGCACATTGACCTTTTGGAGGAAGTCCAGAGGAGGCCACCAAAATACTCAGAGGGCTGGAGCCCCTCTCATATGAGGAAAGGCTAAGAGAATTGGGATTGTTCAGCCTGGAAAAGAGGAGGCTTTGGAGTGGTGCATTTGTGGCCTTCCACTACCTGAAGGGAGCCTGCAAGAAAGCTGGAGAGTCTGGGACTGAAAAGAATTTGAAAACATCTTAGGGGTTCCTAAATTAACAAAATCTCAGGTCTGTAACTCCCTTTACTGGTCCAGACAGAAGAGGATAGATAAAATTTTAAAATACAGACGTGAGTATTAAATGTGACATTGACCTTGAGCTATAGAATAAACTTTGCATCGTGAGAGATTTGGTGTACTTTGTACTTTATTAACATATATCTGTAAACACTATGGGGTCTTGATTGATCTTTGGTATCTAAACATTACATCATAATTAACAACAAATCCAGAAATATATTATAAATACATGAAATAATAGTACATTAACCTAAAGAACAGCAATAAACTGCAACGCTTAGCATAAACTTGAAAACCACTAATGGGCCACTGTGCAGTTTGTTTATACTCCGAGCAGTCGAGAACTCAGCATAATGTACAGGAACGTGGTGGGGAACAGCACGGCCCAGGCCATAATTTATAGGGCTTTGTTCATGGACACAGCTGAGTTTTGAAGCTGTTTCTGAGACTGCCACGATGAGCACTGTCCTTTCAGCCTGCTCCATGCCTCCTTCCAGTTCTCCTGGGGAGTCACGGGCTCCTTCGTGCTGCACGGATGGGTTTGTGCTGGTTTGCTGTGAGCGTGTTCAATTCATGCCCTTGGAATTGGAATTATTCTCTGAATCACCTCCTTGGGGTGCCTGTGAAAGACAAGGAGGTGTCTTTCACAGGCACCTCCTGAATCTGTGAAAGACAAACGAGGCCGTGCTGGAGACCAGTGACCAATAGGTGAATCACGTGCAGCAGCAGCAGCTTCCCAAATGCTCTTTGCCACTGCTGAGCAGGGTTTCATAGCTCTGTTCCTGTAAATCTTAATTCATTGCACACTCTTCTGTCAATGCTTTTTTCCATGTTACTCCTGAGCATTAGAACCCTTCTGCCTTTGTGGTTTCAGCCATGTTTTAGGCAGCCATGGCCACTGCAGCCAGTGTTTGTGAGTGCTTTTTTAAAGAGAGCATTTGGCATTATGGAGTTCCACACTTTCTTCCTGTAGATCAGGAATACTTTTTTTTCTGTGTAATGTTTACACTGAGGGAAAAAAAAACATCCTGTAGTGATTGTTTCCCAGTTTCTTGGCTGGGCTTGTCATTTGCCATGGCTGTTGTGGGTAGTTTTTGAAAGAACACAACCCTCAGGGTGCCAACTGGAAACTGAGTACTAAAGTAGAAACACACAGTTTTGTTGCATGCTACAGTGAGATGGAATTTTTTCTCTGTCATCTCATGGTTCTGTTGTAACTGAGAGTGGCAGTTTCTACACAGTTCATATGTTTGCTTTTGACCAGGAGAATTTGCCACTTTAACAGCAAGTACTGAAATTCTCCATCGTTTTCCCTGACTCCACAGCCTTTGGGGTTTTTTTGGAGCCCTTATTAATCCCTGTGGGGTCTCTAATCCCTTCTAAGCAATCTGTTAAGGTGAAACACTTTGTAAGCAAGCTCGGAGCTCTGAGTGCTGCACTGTAGGTGTTTCAGACCGGATCCTGGAAGTGCCAGAGCTGTCAGGCTGGGAGCTGGCTGAGCTGCCTCGGTGGCAGCTCCTTTGGGGATGTCACCAGGACTCAAAGGAGCAGGTGTGTGCCGCTGCTTTTAGTTGATCTCGGCAATGTTGATGAAGCATTTTGTGTAGTGACAGTCTGTCAATCAAATATCTTGTCACAAGTCACCAGACTTTAATCCTTTTTTTATCTCCAAGGCTTCAGGCTCAGTTGGAAACTTGCACTTCGATGAATACTTTGCTGCTTTTGTCTGGAATGGCTGGAGTGCATTTCTGGAATATTTGTCAAGATTTTATCAGTGTTTACTCCAATTTGAGTGCCTGGTGCATTGTAAAACTGGCTTCAGTGAAATCTTAAAGAATTTTATTTAGTTTATGCTGTTTAATAATATAATGAAAACTAATCCTTCATCTATATGTTTGTTTGCTGTGTTAAATCCCACTTGTGTCCATGGTTCCTTTTAGTCAGCTTTTACCTTTAAAAACATTTTTGGAAGAATTGTTTCAGGACTTTTTTTCTCTATGATAAATCATTTTAACTTCGACTACTTGTTTTCTTGAGTTGTCTGCCAGGACGGGCTTGGAAACAAACTTTAATCTCTCTTTTAAAGCATTCCTTCAGGAACAAGAATTTGCTTTCTATCAAAGCGTTGTGTAAAGCACACTTGAAAGAGAATTAAATCCTTCTGGACTTCGTATCTGAGATCTATGCAAGGAGTAACTGTAGTGGAAAATGCTTAACTATATTTTTATATTTGCTTCAAAACTGACCATTTTAAGCTAAAATAAGACTTGTGCCAGTATTTTTCAAAATCAGGCCCAGTGGTGAGATCTCTCTCTTTTCTTCTCATCCCTCCCTTTTCCCGTTTTTGGGCAATCTCTGAAGATTAAACCAGCAAATACAAAACATGTAATTGAAACAATTTCCCAGCTCTTTTTAGAACAAAATTCTGTTTGAGAACTACATCAAGATCTTGTGGCTTTCTGCAGCACTTTGCAGCATGGTCTGTTGTCACAATCTCAGAATATTTTAAAAAGTTTGGAACTGTGAATTACAGTGTGTATACTGAATACTAAATTCATTGATAAATGCACCAAAATTCAATTTATTGCCTAAATGTGAGGGGTTTTTTCCCCCGTTTCCAGTTCAGATTTGTGTTTGAGACATGACCCCTGTGTTGGAGGTTGGCTTCATTCCCCTGTCACGCCTCTTTTCCAGGTACAGGATATCTCCTTCAGCCACGACTGCCGCTGGGTGGTGGTCAGCACACTCCGAGGCACTTCCCACGTCTTCCCCATCAACCCCTACGGGGGCCAGCCCTGTGTGAGGACTCACATGTCCCCACGGGTGGTCAATCGCATGAGCCGCTTCCAGAAGAGCGCGGGGCTGGAGGAGATTGAGCAGGAGCTGACGTCGAAGCAGGGCGGGCGCTGCAGCCCCGTGCCCGGCCTGTCCAGCAGCCCCTCTGGCTCCCCTCTCCACGGTAAATCCACTCTCTTCCTTTCTTTCCCTCATGAGGGGAATATGAGTTTCATAAAGTGTTGTAGATATTGTGCAAAAATACTTTATGTATGCAGATACTGCAGGAATGCGCCAAGGTGGAAACATTTTGGAAAGACAGTTCTAGTTTTGCAGCTTGCTTTAAGTAAGTGATGCTGTCACAGGTGTGTTAATAATTTCTACTCAAAACTGAAAGGTTGGGGGTCTTCAAGTTTTATTTCCATGTAGCATACAGTCAGTAAACTGGTCTGTATTCAAAGAATTTTGTTGCCTAAAATTCTCATTGCTCATTTGCCTTGGTCACAAAGCACATCTGGATATCTACAGTAAATACTGCTTGAGGAGAAATGTGGGAACAAGGCAGTGGGAAGCTGATGGCACAGATTTGTGTCTGCTTTTTGTGTGTGTGTGGAAACATGTGACAAATAATGTGTAAAGGTAAAATAATCTGTAAGAACTGCTCTGTCCATGCTGTTCCTGTGGTGGATGTGCCTTGGAGAAACTCGAAGGATGTGAAGGGGAGCTTCAAAAAATGTTCAAAAATTATCAATGTCACAGCTTTTTCAGTCTTTTCTTTCAGCCTTCCTCTTTCATGAGGTCTGTGCTAGAAGCTGTTTTGTTTGCAATCAGGATTTGCTGCATCCTTATGCCTCCTTTCTGTTGAGAGTAAGTCACAAGTTCCATGGAAGTGAAAGTTTGAATAGCAGTTTGTTTGGGGTAGGCACCCTTTTCCAGTCTGAGAGTATTAAAAATGGCCAGGAACAGTCCCTCTTCCCTAATTATGAGGAGGATTAGGAGCTCTTGTGAAAGCCCAACTATGTGCTGGGCTTTCTGCTATAGAGAGAACCTTTGTGGGATTTCTGAATCAAAGGAACTATTTTATGACTTGGTGATTATTAAGGGAACCAGACTTGTCTCAGAACAACCCTCTCTGTTTTTGCCTTTCTTTGGACTTCTCTGAACAAAGGTTTGTGCGTGGCTGTTCTGGAGCCATCCTCTTCTGCCTGGAGCCACTGGAAGGCACCCAAAACGTGCTCTGAGCTTTCTTCCTCTTTGGAGACAGTTGTGTATCTACCATTTGACTTCCTCTCATCTCTGTTCAGCAGCTCAGCCTGAAACAGGCTGGGGAGTGCTCCAAAGGTTTGCTATGGCACATCCAACTACTTGTAACTGTGAACATCATGGAGAGAAGAGGAAGGAACTGTCAATTTGTGTGGCTATCACCCAGCCAGTTCTATTTTCTGTCAAGGGAAATTGCAGTAAGTTGTTGCCTTTACAATCCTCTGAGGTACATTGGAAGTTTTGAATAGATTTGACACTTTTAAAAAAGAAGAATCAGCAGTTTCAGGATGCTCAGTGGTGGAGGTAGGAGGCAGGCATGCATGGACGAGTCACAAAGAAAGGCAGCAGCTTTTAGGGGAGTGTCTCAAGAGTTCTGGGGCTTCAGTTTGCAGATGTCTGTCTTGAAAGATAATAAATCAGATTTCTTTCAAGATCTCTGTGCAGCCATCACTGCTTGAAAATGAGCTCTGTTTAAACAAACAGCTCCACTGGAAGTCTGCACATGGGTGCTGAGAATTAAGGCAGGAAGGTGACTTTGATTTCTGGAGGACTTCACACAGATTGTGCTCATCACTTCCGCAGTGCAGAAGTTGGACACGTGCTATGATTGTGTGTTGGTAACTTGCAAAACTTCATATGAACGTTTTCCATGAGAAATTTGTGGGGATTTGTAGAGGAGTTAGCACAGATGCCTTAAAAAAAAATTAAGAAAAAAAATAGTTGCGTTTGAAAGAGTCCATTTGGTAAAGTACTGTAATATTTTCAGTAATTTTATTGCTGCTTTTTCATTTCAGTAATCTTTCAGTTCCCCTGGCTAAAGGCAGGCAGGATATTGAACCCTATTCTAAGCTTTTTATAAAAAGCCATTTATCATCAACTTGTAAAAGACCCCTGAAGTTCGGAGCAACTTTCAGCAGAGGAATTGTATGTGTGTGTGTGTGTGTGGCAGCAGGATTAGTCAGAGACCGATGATTATTTTAATTTGTGAGCTAAGATGTGTTTACTCAGATTGTAACAGCTCCTTACCATATTATAATGTTAAATTATTGTTGTTTGGAGGAGTCGAGGCAGTCTGGTGACAGAAGTGTAAACGAGCACTCGAAACAGAAAAGAGCAGTTCTGGGTTTAATTCTTTGCTGTACTTCTAACTCGCTCTGCAACCCTTGGTGAATTTTATTCAGCTGATTTTGTCTGTCAGCTCTCTGCTGTGTGACAACAGTAATAATCTCTGTTCCCTGCGTGTGGAATGACTTTAATTTTGCAGCTTTCTTCAAGAAGAATAACTGTTATGTTCCTTAATCACCCCTCTAAGTGCAGATGATTATAATGGAAATAAAGCTAGAGACCGTGTCCTGGAGAGAGCCATTCTCTGGGACAAGGTGTTGATTAAGTGACTGATTCAGAGGAGATTGTGGCAAACTGCAGGATTTTTCTGTGTGGAGTCACGTCATCACGATTTTCCTCTTACATCTTTTCCAATTTTCAGTGAACCCTACATTAAAAAACTGCTTTTAATCGTTCTGCTGATATTCCTTAGGCCAAAATACTGCACTATCTTATCTTCCCTTTTGCATAGCAATTGTAACTTATTGATAGTAACTTGTGATTAGCTTTTGTTCTTGTAAATATTTTCAGAGCTCGGGCTCTGTCGTATTTTTCTCACTTGTTTTTTTCCTCCTAGTCTCGAAATGAAACTGTTTGCTGTGTATATAGTAGCAAGGCAATCTATTTACATTGTGTTGGAGCACCCTAGGACTGTTTACCCACACAAAGTCAGCCTTTGCTGGGGGTAGGGATGATTTCATTTCCAAATGAATCATTGTTTGGCTTTGTTCTTTCCAGCAGAATATGAAGTAAACTGTTAAATACAGGATGATAAAGAGATATTTCCTTTGCACCTTTTAGAGCCGACAGAGATTTTGTTTGGGCTGTTCTGTCTCTTAATGCAGCGAGGTTGTATTTTTGTCATTCCCTTGGATTGCCAGAGTGTGTTGTCAGGAATATCTGAGTTAATCTCGGGATCCTTTTATGGGCTTTTACTATTATAAGACTATTACAACATCGATTGGTTGTTGGGGTGAACATTAGGGTAAAGTATGGCCTTATGTGACCATTTCACTTGTATAAAATTGGGTTTATGGTCCTTACCTGTCTGGCAGGTACGCTGTGAGGATTAAAGGATGAGGAGTTAAAGCAGAGCAATGTCCTTGGTGTTGCAAAGTTCTCTGTGTTCTCTTCAGGACACAAGGAACATTTAGCTGTAAAAATGCAATGCTTTACTTGGACGGTTGAAAACTGCACATAACTCCAATTTTTTTAATCCTGCAAATTAAAATTTACAGAATGTCATTAATTCTTGCACGGCCAGTAAGTGAAATAAAGTCTGTGTAGCTCTGCTCGCTCGGTTTTCTCTGTTGTTGGCTGCAGGAATTTCCAGCACCAGAACAAATAATAATCCAGTCAGTTAACATTGGATCTACAGCTACACATCTACACCTACTAAAAATATTCCATAATAATACGATACTCTCTGAATTTGCCTTGCATTTCATTGGGGATTGAAGTATTTATTTATTTGCCAAAAAACTGTTCATAGTACGCCGTGGTTCTGTTTCAGATTTAATACCGATGCTGAGAGGGAGTATATAAATTTAGAATTATTTAAAAATCATGTTGTTCTCGATACAGTGCATTCAGGCTTGTATTTTTCTCTTTATAAATATTTTAGTATGGCACGTTTTTCATTGCAAAATCTTTTCTAAGTTTAAAAACCAAATGGTTTTCTCTTGCTTTTCCTTCATTTGTCACAATCGCAATATGATTAAAATCCAAGCGTAAAACTGGAAGTTTGATAAACATGCAGCCTGAGATGCTTTACATATTTTCACGTTACTTTTCACTATTTCCCAGAGTGAAACTCCTTTTACTAGAAGAATTCTTATGGGAAAGGAGAGTTGAAAGGACTGACATCATCAGCCCTTCCTGAAAAACAGATTGGTTTCCTTTAAGTAACACTCACTTAAGAAACCACCTATTTAGAGAGAGGCAGACAAAAATAGTTTCAAAGAAAATTAACTGTATAATAACTTAAAGCACTGGAGGGCAATTCCTTCACGAAACGCTGTGAACACGAGCTGACAACGGTTCTTGGAAAACTCTATTAAGTTTAATTTTTCTCTTTGTAGCGTCTCACGGCAGAAACAGTTTGCGTGGAAACAGCAGAGCGAGCTGCATTGTTTTATCGTGCTTTTAACATTCCTATTTGTGTCACTGTCGTGTTTCTCCACAGCGTCACACTCGTCTCTTTTTAAATTTAATCGTAATTTCAAATAATTTCAAATAATTCCTTTTGCGGCTCCGTTTCTTAGCGCCGATTTCGCCCCGGCTCCCTCAGCTCCCGCCTCACCACCGCGGCCTGCAGGGGGCGCCCTCTCCCCGGCCATGGCGCCTCAGGCGGGGCCGGCCCTGAGGGGGACCTGGCGGGGAAGCGCCGTAACGCGGACAAATGGTGGCGACGAGGATAAACCCCTCTCTTTTTCACTAATACAGGCACTGAGCTGCTTGCATGGGCACCGTAAATATTTATTTGTTTGCAAATATAAACCCTCCACATTCTCTGTGCTGCCCGAAGCATTGAGCGATTCTCTTCACAACTTCACTTGAAGTTTCGCTTCACGGTTTTAAGGCAGTTGAGAAAAAACCCCAAATTAATTTACATGGTGGGAATTTTCTGCTAGTGACTTTTAGAGACCATTGTGTGATTCTGTGATGATTCTTTCGTTCTTAAGCAGTCCCGGTGGTGGCGATGGAAGGTCCCACATGTAGGCTGGGAAGAGCTGGAATCACCAGTTTGGGAAGCGGCCAGCAGCTTACTGGGTTTAAGGAAACTGTATTTGCTGTGTTTTAGCTGCCTTTCCCCCC